AGGAACGGCTAGGACCTCGAAACAATTGCAGACTCTTAGGGGAGCATGTCACAGTTAAATTGTTTGGTTCAGACTCAATGCTGTATGACATTTGAACAGGAAGATTCTAAGGACTCTGTGGCCGTGCTTCTGTTATCTGATGACTAAGCCATCCTTCTGACCTGATTGTTTGAGGCTTCCTATGTGGTGTGTGCTCTCTGGGAGGCATTAGCCTGAGACGCAAGAGCCTCATGTCTTTTCCCCAGATTCTGTTGCCTGTGATTTTCCAGTGTTATTCTTCTCAAACCCTGCAAGAGTGTACTGCTAGCTGCCCCCTAAGAGAGTTTACCTTTATCAGTGTCACCAAGACAGACTAGAGTGCAGTGGCATCCTATCTGCATATTTTGACTTACAGAAATGCATTGAATTGATGTGCTCCACCAGGATTCACTTTATTGTACATACCTCAGATAAGCATTGAGAAGCTCTCAGTAGGGTCACATCATGAGTTAAAGGAGAGAGTTAATGCAGCAGAAGTGAATGTCTTGGAGTTTGGGCTACTTTCTTTACTACTTAACTGTGTCCTCTCAACCCCCTTGGGGATCATCCCAAATATACTATTTCTGTTGCTCTAGTTGTCTTATGTTATGACAGTCACATGCAATAGCTTGGTTACTTAGTCACTTGATGTCCAGGTTCAGTCTGTCTAGCAGCCCTTTTCTGTAGCCTCAGGGTTCTAGAAGTATGTGCTGGGCTTGTCCTCTCAGGGCTTGCTAGAAATATCCTGACACTCACAAAGCCTTTGATTTTCAAAACTTTACCAGTGTGGCATGGTTCCCTTAATCCATTTACTCCTTCATTTTGCTGGAATGTCCACACAGCTTTTAGTTTTCTATTCACTAGCTTTGATTAGCATGTCTTCTGTATAAGTAAAATATAGCAAAATGTCAAGATGGTGATGATTTCTATGGACAATATTCTGACAGAGAACATGAGTGTCGGCATTGTGGTTCAGAGCCAGGACAGTATAGGTGTTCTCTATTCTCCCTTAGAAAATATTAACTGTAATTTACTTTCGTGGCTGATTGGAATGAAAATATCTCTTTACTAGATCAAGAGCCCTAGTAGCATCATTAGTTATTTGTTCAAAGGTCAAGATTCAAATCTACTGGCCTATCAGTATCAGACTGTACCAATCTGTTCCCATGTTAATATTGTGTTTTATATAAGACTCAAAACCTCCCCGCTGTGGAGTTCCATCAGATTTCTGAGGCTGTGAACCACAAAGTGAGGAGGATGCCCATTTCTTTTCTCCAGGTACAACTGGTGGATTGGAACTGCTGGCAATGTAGCTTTTGGATTAGCAATGAAATCACTATGGAGTCACTGTGAAATCACCAGCAGTAAATCACCTTAAAAGAGATAGCCCATTTTTCTCCCATGGAGCATCTGGTGGATTTGAACTACATGGCTTTGGGTTGATAGCACAGCTTCTTACCACTAGTCCACCACATTTCCCTTATATCTGGTATGGAAACTGTAATTGGTTATGATTAACAAGGTCCACATCCATCTGCCAAGATCCATTTAATTTTTGAAAAGGTGAATTAAACAGAGATATGGTTAGCATTGCTAATTGTTGAAGTCAGTTTTGACTAATAGAGGTGATATATGTGTCAGAGTAGACTGTGCTCTACAGGGCTCTCAGAGTCTGATTTTTTTAAGGTCTTTCTTCTGAGGCATCTCTGGGTAGATTTGAATTGCCAACCTATTGATTAGCAGCTGAGCATTTTTGTTGTTGTTATGAGTAGCTGAGTTGAGTATGACTCATAATGCCTCTAAGAATAACAGATCTGAATCCTGTGCCATCCTCATCATTTCTGACATACTTGAGCCCATTGCTGCAATCACTATGCCAATCCATCTCATTTTAGGGTCTTTCTGTCTTTCACTGACCCTCAGTCTTTCATAGCATGAAAGCACCCCCTTCTAGCCACATGCCCAAAAGTATGTGAGATGAAGCGTTGCCATCTTTGTCTCTGTGGACCACTCTGGCTGCACCTTCCCCAAGACATATCTATTTGATTTTTGGCAGTCTATGAGATATTCAGTACTCATCTCCAACACCAGAACTCAAAGGCATCAATTTTTCTTCTGTCATTCTTATTCAGCTATTATCTAGCTCTCAGATGCATAGAAGTGATTGAAAAGACCATGGCTTGAGTCAAATGCACCTTAGTCTTCAAACACACATCATTCCTCCTTAGTAGTTTGGAGAAGTCCCTGATAGTGGATTTGTTTGATGTAATATATCTTTTGATCTCCTGACTCCTGGTAGCAAGGGTGTTGATTGTGGACCCAAGTAAGATGAAATTGTTGACAATTTCAATCTTTTCTCCATCTCTCATGATGTTGCTTATCAGGCCAGTGGTGAGGATTTTTGTCTTCTTGATGTCAAGATGCAATCTATGTTGAAGACTGTAGTCTGATCTTGTGCAAGAAGCATTTCAAGTCCTCATTTTCAGCTGGTCTTGTTTGAACAACAGCTTCCTGGCTAGGTATTGGTTTCAAATGAACATGATTTAAAATATCCTGGGATTCCCATTCTTCTCAAGGTTAACCACAGTCTAATGCCTTTGCATAGTCCATAAAACACAAATAGACAAGGCTTTTATTTATATTCTATGCTTTCAGTCAAGATCCATCTGACATCAGTAATGATATCTCTGGTGCCATGATTTGTTCTAAACCTAGCTTGAACTTCTGGCAGTTCTTTGCCATTGGTCTACTATAGCTGTTTTTGGATAATCTTCAACAATATTTTGCTTGTTGTGATATTGATATTATTTGATAATTTCCGTATTCTGTTGGGTCACCTTCATTTGGAATGGGAACACATATGGATCTCTTTCCATCAGTTGGCTAGGTATCTAGCTGTCTTCCAAATTTCTTGACACAGACTGGTGAGCACATCCATGGCTATATCTGTTAGCTGAAACATATCAATTAGTATTCCATAGGTTTCTGGAGCTTTACTTTTTGCTAGTGTTTTCAGTGCAGCTTGAACATCTTCCTTCCTAACCATTGGCTCTTGATCGTGTTCTACTGCCTGAAATGTTTCAGTGTTAACCAGTTCTTTTTGGTACAGTGACTCTGTATTCCCTCCATCTTCCTACAGCCCTACCAAGGATATTGTATCACTTTACTGTCTTGTCTGCCAGTAACTTTCACTTAAACCTCCACTCCATATTGTTGTTAAGACTCAGGTCATGCAATCAACCTAAAAGTCTGCCAGTTGATTCATCCTGGTGATATATTCATGTCAAAGAGAAATTATATCAGGGTGGGTGTGGTAATTTGGGCTCTGCATTTGGGACAAGCTTCTATTTACCTCTTGGCCTCCATCAGTTCCTTCTCTCTTTGAGAGGTTCTTTTGCTCCCCTTGATAGTATTATAAGTTACGACTCTGTGTCCAACAGCTCTGATCCAAAGTGGAGAGCACAGGTAAAAGCCTACATAGTAAGGTGTACTATTTCTCTCCTTGGCTACATTTTTGTGGAACCACACATGCTGGTGACATCTTTTTTCCAGGGCCACAGGTTTAACACACCGCCATCTCTGTCTCCAGTTTCTAGTTAACATATATAAATTTTCCTTCAGTCCTGGAATGAAAATGATGCTCACACTGCTAGCAGCCCCAGAGATACTGCCCTATCCAGTTTAATTTTTTTACTCTACACACCATAGCTTATAATCTTTTAATTAGACTCTCTTCAAATTACCTAATTTGAGAATATTCTTTCCTGCTGGCACTCTGACTGATACCAAGGGAATCTGATTGTACATATTGAAATCTTAAGCATCAGTTTAGCAATTCCTCTTCTGAAATGAGCTTAAAGAATTAATTCTGAAATGTGCACAAGAATGCTTATAAGAGAAGTTTCATTAAATAAGACAAAAACATTGAACATTTTATGTTGGAATATTTTGCTGCTAATAAAAATCGTGTTACATCAGGATGAATTTGTAACAGTACAGGAATTTATATAAAAATATTAATAGCCAATAGCCAAGAAAAAGAGTCATCCACAAAACAGCATATATTGCATTTTTGTATTTGTATATACCATTATGCAACCAGAGCTGCCTATAAATACACAGTAGTGCACAAATGATCTGAAGTAAGATGTTAATAGTGGGCTTGGTTTTTTTTTGTTTCTTTTTTTAATTTGGGGAAATGGGAGATTTTTATAATTTTTCTTTGTTTTCTTAGTTATGATTTCTGTTCCTTTTTAACTGAACATGAGTTAGTTTTGAAATTGTTTGTTGTTGTTGTTATGTGCCGTCGAGTCGCCTGCGACTCATAGCGACCCTATGTACAACAGCCCTAAACTCCGCTCTGTCCTGTGCCAATCGCACTGTCTCTGACACTCCCATCCCAATTATCCCAGTCACTGAATCAGTCCACCTCATAGAGGGCCTTCCTCTCCTGCGCTGTCCCTCCACCCTCCCAAGCATGATGTCCCTCTCCAAGGACCGGTCTCTCCTCACAACATGTCCAAAGTATGTTAGACGGAGCCTCAGAATCCTTGGCTCCAAGGAGCCACCCGGTTTAACCCTTTCCAGGACAAATCTGTTTGTTTTGAAATTAGAAATAAATAAGTAGGCAAACTGTCAAAAAAAAGGCTCCATCACAGGGCTTGGGAGGCAGTGAACCTACATAGTCTCTGAGCTGAAAAGACTTGCTTTGGTAGTTTTTAATTAGTTGTCTGAATTCTTGGGCTCAGTTAAGGGGGAGATTGTTTTTATTAGTATAACAATTTGGGGGAAGGGGAAGATGAAGAAGCTTTTAGGATACTTAATGAAATGTACTTTGGACACAAATATATAATTAAAGTAATAAAAAGAAATTAATATTGTGCAGAAAGTCCTTATACCCCCACCACTTTCCCCACCTTTGTGCAAATGCTGAGCTCTGAGGTTTTCGTAAGCTTCTCCTTGTTGCTCTGCTCACTGTGGGCCAGAGAAAGCACAGAAATACATTGCAGCATCTCCTAACTGAACATCTGAGATCCTGAGGCTGATGGACTTGGAAGCTTTCTGAAAGTCCACAGAAAAACGATTCTCTGTTGTGTTCTGTTGCTTAAAAGCTTCTTGGCGAATAATGAAAATCATCTGCCCACTGGGAAGCTGTTTGTACCAGAACAAATAATAATTACTTTCACTGGTGTCATATGTGCAACTCAGTGTCACCATCTCTGCCTCCTGGACAGGCATTTCTCGTTGAGACTGGGTGACTGTCTGGGATATGCTGAATCCTGTGGGGAAGAGATGAGAAAGAAATGAAGTGTTGAGATGTCAACACAGAAACTAGCAGACAGGGAGATGTTTGCCATCCCCACCCACCTTCCTTCTTTCTTATTCAAACCTTGGCTAAATGTATCAGTTTCTGCCTCTCAGTTACTAGTTCCTATGAAACAATACAGTCTCATAAGGTCTCTATGCTGCTGATCTTCTCTCCTGCTTCACAACATTTAAGCTGGATCTGACATTGTGACCTTATGTATATGAAACAGTTTCTGCTCCCACACTGCCCCATGATCTTTGATATGGTAGTCTATCATTGAGGCTATTATGTCAATGCATCTTAGAAAGACTCACATCATCCTTACCAAAACAGGTGGAGACCGTCACAGCCCACAGCACACGAACAAGTGTCATGCTGGTAGCTTCTCCAACAGGGTGCAGATCTCCTGCCCTGCCCTGGGTTGCCATCTGTCCTTGGTGACAATTCTGCTTCACTGCAGGAAATGGCATCACAGGTGGGCGGGCGATTGTGTCCCATTGAAGAACATTTTCTCAATAGCTTTTACTCTCTCAGAAAATTGGCCATTGGTTAAAATTTCAAATGAAATGAAAAACTTGCTTCCAAATGGAGGTGGCACATGAGTTTTCAGTAAAATAAAATTTTTCTTAGAAGTATGGTGGGCAGACATGGAAACATTTTTGTAGTTTTTAATTTCTTTTTTTTTAAAAATGGCAAAATATAGTAAAATATGAATAATTATGAGTGATGAAAATATATCTGTTATATTAATGTTTTATATTTTTATTATTTCTTTAAAAAGTCAATAAAGACTGAGGAAAAATATCTATACTAGTAACAGAAAAGATTACTGGCTGAATTCAAGGATGGGTGGAAGCAGGACAGGAAGTGTCTCCTAAATGTTTTGTTTTCCATGAAGGCCTGTTCTATAGGCCTTGTTTTGCTTTATCAAGGAGCTATAAATTACCTACTGCAGTTCTCATGAGCACTGAGTTGCCTTGATCCATGTTAAGAGTTGCTCTCCCCATTGTCTTTAAGGAAATGTTGTGAACAAAGAAGTTTTTAGAAACTTCACTGGAATATATTAAACATTCTTGTGCAACCAGAGTGCTCCTTAGAGGCAAGCATGGTGACATTTCACCTCTCTTGCTTTGGGCATATTTTCAGGAGAAATAATGCTGGGAAAGGCAGATGGTCAGTGAAAGAGAGAAAGACCCTCAATAGGACTGGTTGACACAGTGACTGTAACAATGAGGTCGAGCATGACAAAGATTGTGGGGATGGTGCTGAATAGGGCGAGGTTCATAGACTGCTGGGAGTTGTAGTTGGCTCCATGGCACCTAACACACTATATCTCTTTGTGTTAAGGATAAGCATTCATCTGCTAACTAAAAGATTATTGGTTTGAAACCACTCATGTGGGACGTAAATCCTCTGGCACTTCTGCCTTGTACTCACATGATCATAAAATAGTCCTTGCAGTTGTTAGGCTTTTCAATAAGCAGTGTTTGGAGCATAGAGGTGACTGCCAAGGGGACACAGATGGGGCAATGAGAGTGCATTACTAAAGAGCCAGATACGAGTCTAAAGACCAAGGTAGTTCTAACCCAAGCCATTGTGTTTTCAATCGCTTCATATTCATTTGGAAGTTGGACAATGGATAAAGTAGACTGAAATACAATTGATACCTTTTAATTGTGTTAACAAAGAATATTGAATGTATCATAGAGGCCAAAAGAACAATCAGTCCTGGAAAAAAATGCAATCAGAGTGCTCCTTAAAGGTGAGAAAAGTGAAACTTTATCTCATGTACTTGGAGTGTGTTATCAGGAGGCACCAGTTGTCCTGGGAAAGGACATCAAACTTGGAAAGTGGAGGGTCAGTGAAAGGAGGCCTTCAGTGAGATGGATTGTCACAGTGACCTGCAATGAGTTTGAGAAGGAATGTATCAGTGAGATTATGAGTCAGAACTGAATCAATGGCGACTTAACAACTATTTCCCAGACTTATTTTTTCCCCCTAACACCTTTCTACCTTATAGACTTCCACCTAGGAGTCTCTAAGCTGTTTCTTTCTTTCTTTCTTTCTTTCTTTCTTTCTTTTTTTTGTATGTATTCTTCTTCTTCTTCTTTTTTTCCTCATGATTTATATTTTATTGGTTGTTTTAAGGGCCAGTACAGAGACATTGTGAACAACCTGTACACAATTCTTAATGCACGTACCAAAAATCTAAAAAGCCATGTAGTTATTATTCTTTTCTAAATTCCAGTGACCTTCCAGCTTTAAATTTGGAGGAAAGTTTTCATAAAGAAGAAAATAAGTACCAATGGCTTTAATTGTTGATAAACTGTCACATCATTAAGTCCCACTAATTCACAATTTACTATCACATACACTACACATTGAAATGTTCAACCATTCACAGCACATAACAAATTTATTAGGAAAACTGGACTACCAAGACCAAAGATGTTACAGAATCCACATAGTTCTGACAGGGAGAAAGCCATGAAAAGGGATTGGTTGTGTTTAAGAATAAATTTTACTAAACAATGTTCTAATTTATGTATCTAAAAAACATGGAAAATAGACTTAATTTAAAATGTTCAAGTCATAAATGCATGACTATGACTCCAAATTGTCATTACATATACTATGTATTATGGGATATAAAAACTGTCCCCTTTCCCCTGGGATGTTACACTGACCTCCAACGCCCCCCCCCCTCCTCAATTTTAACATCCTACATTTTCTGGTTGTACCAAAAAAATAAACAACCAGTAAATGATCTCACATCTTAAAAAAAAAAGCATTTACACTTAAAAATGGGATGAAGTGGAATTTCCTTCTTCTTAAAAATGTTTCTAGAGCTACTAAAAAACTTGCATTTACAAAATAGTTGATACAAATATTCCTCTGGATTGTACAAGAAAGGGGATACAGGGACCACTGATACATGGTAGATAAATATTAATCAGACTTGGCTTCTTTTTTTCCTGCTTCATCAGAGGCTGGACTCTCTTTTTCTTTTTTTGTTGTTTCTCCATTTTCTGCAGGTAAATCTTTTTTAGTTTCTTGGTTAGCCACTTCAGCCTGTTTTCCCTTTGCTCCCCTTTTCCCTTTTGTTTGCACTTTTTGTCAGAAGACTTCTTTCTTGCTGCCTTTTTGGGCTTCGTTTCCACTTTTGCAGGCGGCTTAGCTGACAGCCTCCCTGATCTCCTCTTAGGCTCCTCCTTCACCACAATCTCCACTGAGAAGACCTTCCTCTTGGGCATGTTGGCGGCAGGGTGGGCTCCTGCTGGGTGCCTGTGGGCCGCTGCGTGCACAGAGCTTTAGCGAAGCTGGGTTGCTCTGGCCTGGTATAGAGGTTCTTTATTTTGATATAGATCTCATTCTGTAAGAAAACATGAATAGTCAATATTTCTTCATGTATCATGCTTTTCATTTACAATAACCAATTTATTCAAAAGAGAGTTATTACCCTATCCCAATCCACTGCATAGCACTGACAAAACTGATCAGAAATTCACTACATTTATGAAACTACAGCCTTTCAGTTATGTAGAATGGAGGTACATATAAAGAAGTGTAATAAGAATGTTTCTTAATTGAGCTTTGTGTGGTATTTTATTTACTTGTGATTGTTAAATTCCTTCAAGTTGACTCCAAATATTGAAAGTTTGCCCAGTCCTGAACCACCCGCATTTCTGCTGTGTTTATACCTATTTTTACAATCAATATGTCAGTCTGTTTTGTTGAAATTCTTTTTCTTATTCTCTGACTCTCTACTTTTCCCCCCCAAGAGTGTTACTTACCTGACGTTGTTGTACTGTTGAGTCAGAACCAAACCATAACTGACCCTCCAATGGGTTTTCCAGGGCAGTAAATTGCATGGAAAGAGATTGCCCATTTTCATTTGGATTCTAACTGCCTGTCTTTGAGTTGGCAGCCCAATTCCCTACCACTAAGTCATCAGCACTCCATTACTTATCTAGTGGTGCCATAACAGGGACTTCACTAGTGGGTGGGCTTAACTAAACAACTTTTGTCTCATAGTTTATGATATAAAACTATAAACTCAGAGTTCCAGCTCCAGAGTCCCATAGAGTTTTCTCTCTGTCAGAGTTCCATGTTCCTTTCAGCATCTGTAGGCCTGATTTCTCGGAATATTTCCATACATATTGACCTTCCCCTGTGTCAAGGAGCTTCCCAGTGCATGGTCCTAGAGTCCAACAGATGCACTCAATCTTGTCAGTTCTTCCTTGGTGCTACTGAAATCTCCCGTCTTGGCTCACTTCTCTTTCCTTTATCTCTCCATAAGACAGAAGTGATGTAGGACTCATCACCATGTAACATGTAAAGGTGTTACAGCCCCCCCCTTAATACTTAATATTTAAATTGCTGGTTTATTAAATCATGAGGGATCAATATAAAACTTCATTATGTCATTATATGCATGCGTTTTGGGGGCTACATATGAATCCAATTGAGTTCTGGTGGCATAGTGGTAAGCAGCTGTGCTGGAATCCCAAAGGCACATGGTTTGAGTAGAGAAACTGCTCCATGGTAGAAGGATGGGCTATCTCCTCCCATGTGTTTTATTGCTTCTAAAAACCCACTGGAGGGTCAGCTATGGGTTGGTTCTGACTCAATGGCACACACCAACAATAATAATTCAATTGATTACAAATGATCATTCCATTATTTCTATCAGATTAGTGATTTGTGGGTCATGCTTTATATTTTAGCATCAGATTTTATGCACACGGATGGCGTGTCTACTGTCCTACTTGTGATGATCATGTGATTAATTAAGATATTCTAAGCCCCCAGATAATCCTTCTTTTTGGTACACTGCGGAAAAGGAAGAAAAAATCCATACTGAGAATATTTATTGATTAATTA